CTTGCTGGGATAGAGTCAAGTTTTATTGTTTTCTCCTGCCTTTGTTTATGGCTATTTGATAAAAGAACAATGTCATCTGCAAAACCCAAATACTCCAACTGTCTGAAAGGTGTCCACTGGATTTCATTTTTCCCATTGTGTGTTGCTTCTCTCATGATCCATTAATGGATAACAGAAAGAGGAATGGTGAGAGCAGGTATCTCTGTCAAACTCCAGATTCTATCATAAGTTGTGAGTTTACTTTCATGTTAAACCCTGCAACTCATTTCTTTGTATGTATTCTTAATTAAGCTAGTTAGCTTTTGAGGAATACCATAATTTCTTAGTAGTTTCCAGAGTGTATCTCTGTCCAAGCTATCCAATGCTTTACGAAGTCGTCAAAATTTAGATACAATGATGTATTCCACTCTAAGCGTTGTTCTATGATTATGCGTAGGTTGGAATTTGGTTAGTACTTGATATCTGTTTTCTCGAAAACCAGCCTATTCATCTCTTAGTCTGTCACTTTTTTTATTCTCCGCGGAATAATTCTATTTAGTATTTTTCCTGGTACAGAAAGTAGCATGATTCCTCTATAGTTTCCACACTCATGGAGGTCTCCTTTCTATGGAAGTTTGACCAAGTATCCCTCTCTCCACTCCTTGGGTATCTTCTCTTGGTCCCAGATAGTCACAATTAGCTGGTGATGTATGCTTGATGACAGTTCCAAATCCGTTACATTGTACCAGTCTTTTAGGTTACCTTTTGAAGCAGCCTCTTTGTTACATTGTACCTGTCTTTTAGGTTACCTTTTGAAGCAGCCTCTTTGTTACATTGTACATGTCTTTTAGGTTACCTTTTGAAGCAGCCTCTTTGTTACATTGTACATGTCTTTTAGGTTACCTTTTGAAGCAGCCTCTTTGTTACATTGTACATGTCTTTTAGGTTACCTTTTGAAGCAACCTCTTTGGCAATGTCATTAATAGATCTCCCTTTTTCTTTCCTGATATTCTTTTTAAGCTCTTTATTGGCATTTGTGTAGCTATCAAAATCAGTCACTTTTGCTGCTCTTGTTTTGCTCTCTAAATAAATTATCTTCTTTCTTTTCCTATCTTTAATTTTGTCTATTGTTTCTTTTGAGAACCACTCTTTATGTTGATATTCTTTCTTCCTTAAAACTTCTTCGCATTACTTGGTCTGAATCCCTCTAATATGTTGCCATTGATCTTTTATATCTCCAGCTATGTTCTCGGGCTGTTGCAGAGCCTCAAATCTGTTATTCAAACTCTTTTTTTTCTTTTCTAGATCTTTAAAGAAATCTGTGTTATAAGAATGATATGATAAGCCACCTCTTATGACATGCTCGCTTGGCAGTGACTTATTCTACTCCTATATTACATACCATCAGTTGCACACGGGGAGGGCAAAGCATATACACCCTTAAATTTAAAAATTTAATTTAATTTGGAAGTTAATTAAAAACAAAGTTATTAAAAAATAATGTATTTAATCTAACAATTATGCACACACACAAAAATAACACTTATTTATTTTGTTAATATCTAGGTACTAATGCACGGGAAGAAGGACGCTGCATTCCGCAAGCACTGTTTCCAAGTGTTGAAGGAAAAAATGACTCATGCATAGACAAATCAAGCAGAGAGGAAGATTCAAAAGAACAACAGCTTTGTAATAGCAGGCAACACAACAGTAATCATGATGTGAAGTTTGCAGATTTTGCGGGCGTGCTGAGTTGGGTAGATTCTTGCGGGTTTAATTCTCAGACTTCAAAGTCCAGGAGTGATGGAGATAAGAACAAAACACCAGCAGATGGAGACGAACAAGAGGACCCGGATCACACCATCCATCAGGTAGGATTTATTGACCACAGAGTTTTGGCCAAGTCACATAAGTCTGTCTCTGGGCCAATCAATGCTAATCTTAATATTTATTCTTGGGTTGCCCTGCAGCAAAATGATAATTGGTCTGACTCCCAATCAGAAAGGTTGTTTGTTTTCCGGGGTCATCAACATATAAAAGTTGCACAACCTACGTGTCATGGCAAAAAGGATAAAAAAAGAAAAATTCCTTTAACAGACTGGTGGAATGGATCAGCCCATCAAGCCAGCTGTTACTGTAGTGGTCCAAACTCTGAGTAAATACCCCAGTCACTGAAGGAGGAAGTCAGAAGCAATATCAGTGTGGGATAACAAAAGCTCCCTGCAAAAAGTATGCACTCTTTATACTTAATCAGATATTGGAAATATCCTAATAGCCCTTCCAAGCTTTATGGCCAATAGTGGCAGCTTTCTCTGTAAACTCTGGTAGCCAATTGAATTACTTCAAAAGACAGCTGCCATGTTGACATTCAATGGTCTAAACCAGGGGTCAGCTACCTACGGCACGTGTCGAACTGCTGGACTTGGCATGCAGAAGACCAAACAATAATTACAAATGACTAAAAAAAAATGTCTTTATTGGTAGACTAATAAGTTATTTACAAGATGAATGAATTAGATGTCGTACTTTGACCCGCTAATAGCAAAAGGTTGCCAGCCCCTGGTTTAACCTATATAACATTTCCATAATAATCTTGAATCTCAACTGCACTAAATTAAGAGATAAAATCTGAGTATTTTGTACAGTTTTAGATGAATTCAGATTAGATGATAGTTGAATGTCTTAAACAGATCTCACGCAAAATTGCGTCTTAATAATAAGAGAAACCTGTATTGATATATTTGGAAGATGTTTTGATCCTCCATCTGCCCCATGCACAATTAAACCTTCATTCATAATATTCTAAGATCTTTCAATCTTTGTCAAACATAAACTTCCTTGTACATCATCTGAACAAAAAAAGGTACACAACACATGCAAATGAACTTAATTTATGAAATAAAAAAAAAACCAGCAGATGTTAAATATTAATTTTAAATATTTTTTCCTCACAAAACAATTATTTTTACTACAAAATTAAACTTTTCAAATACGTTTAAAAATTTTTTTTTTTTTTTTTTTTTTCAGATTTAATTTTCGTGCTGAAGATCTTAAGGAACTTGAGGACGCTTTTTCTGATTTTGAGGCTGCTTCATCTGATGAAGAAGGTAAGATTTTGATCATCCTTGTAACTATTGCCTCAAGCTATGGAGAGACTTTATATGTTACACTCTTCTCATCAATCATATGTGATCTTGGTGTTATTACTTACTTGAATAACCTTAAAATCATTGCAAATTTCGACTTTCATAATTTATGTATTTTTTTGAGAATTTCATTAATGTTTCTGGAAAAAAAAAAGAAATGTAAATGTTGAATGAATAATCTTTGTTTCTACGTCTGAATTTTCAAAGGTTTTCCTGATTATTAGTAAATCTCTTCTCTCTATCTCTCTTTTTTTTCCCTCAGAGGTTCCATCCACAGGGAAGACAGCCGACGGCAATGATAAATGGTAAATTGAAAATGTTGATTCTTGTAAAATGTTTGTTTCCTCCTTTAGTGTAAAAACAAATATGTTAGGGAATCGTTTACATGTTCTCAAATCTTCTTACTCAAATAATATCAGCATTGACCTTTTGGTTTTCATTTGCTGTATTTCCCCTCAAAAGACGCCTTAAATATGAGGTGCCTCTTTTGCGCCGGTAATAAATATTATGAGTTGAAATTTAAAATGTTTTAAAAAAATGGTTTGTGGTGTGTCCTGTATCATGGCAAATACGGTATTTGTACCATTTACATTGAACACTGACATTTTAATGACACATTCTTCAATGATGAAACTCTATAAAATTGCTAAATTTTTATATTTTTACTTATCCATTTTTTAAATATATTCTTTCACCCTTTGCATATTCATGCCTCCAAAGTGTGGTTAAGCTGCAGTTAACAGTTGCACCTTTGTTATATTTTGTATATCCACATTGAATTAGCCACCAAGAAAATGCTGCCCAGTCGTTGCCCAGTACACCACCAAAAATGTTTAGTATCCCCGTCATGGACGGTCCTTTCAAAATACCACTACCACCTAAAAAGCCCACAACAGAAAGCAGATCTGATGCAGGTAATATCACTGATTTGTTTTTATACTTTTATCCAAGACATTTATTTGTCTGTGAGTTTTCTTTGTTTCATGATCTCAACTGAGTGTTTTAAAAAGAACATTTCTTGCTGATTAAATCCTATTGGCAAGAAACAATATATAGTTTGAATTTTAAAATGTCAGTCTCTGTTATTAGCACATATTTGAAGTTGGCTTAAATCATTCTCTAGAATCCCTAGTTGACAACCAGACTGATGCGTACGCAAGCAAAGTTTCTTATGACCCTGAGGCATCCATTATATTTGGTGACTCTATTGCCTTTCATCAAACTGGCTCTACAACAGATTGGGGACCATCCATCCAATTTGGGGATTCAGCTCACCTCACTGACACACCTATGTCTTCCAAGCAAAACAGTAGCAAAGATATGAGGTGCTCAGGGGATATGATGGACAAAAGCAAGTTTGACAAAGGTTGTTACATTATTTTCCCCAATTCCTTGTTAAAATGTTGTAAGGTTGTTTTTTTCAAAATATAGATTGGATCGAATATAAATTGCTGGAATATCTTCACTTTTAAAAAATGTTAGCTTTAAAAAAAAAAAAAAAGAAGTGCTTTTATAAATTCATGATAAATTTTGAGTTTGCTTAGAGGTTGCCCATTTTACTAAGATTTTAAAATTTTTAAATCAATAATTTTGAACAATTGCATTTCATCTTTGTGTGCTTAGAAAAACAAATTTTCTCTTAGGTGGATAACTTAAGGTCTACTGCCACTGTCATAATCAATCCAAATCAAAATGGTCAGCGATGGTCATTACAAAAATTATAATATTCTGCGAATAGGATAAATGAATGATATCATGTAATTAATTAAAAAAAAAAAATTATATCTGTATAATTGCAAGATGGCCTAAGTGAATCCCTTCAACCCAATGACAAGCCATTGCAAGCAAGCATCAATCCCTTTGGGGACTTTGGGGATGAAAATGACGATTTTAGATTCAATGGAGAAGACTTTATGGAAGATTCAGGTTCTTTACTTTTGTTTCTTGCAAGTTTCCATGTTGCTGGACCATCATATCTAAAATTTGTTGTTGATTTTTCTGTTAGCTTCTTTTGTAAAAAAGAAGTAAATGAAAAATGAAAATAATTGTTTTTAGGTAACAGCCAATGAATTAAAATGTATTTGACAATAGCTAATGATTTTTTTTCATGTCCAACATTAGGAGCAGTAGCAGCAATGCTTGATGAAGATGAGGAGCAGTTTAAAAAAGATAATCTTATTGCAGATGAGGTATGGCTAAATTTAGTTTAAAGTTTTTTATAACGGGAAAGAAAACCCACACCAAATGCCAATATGAATGAAGCATACCATTTTCTTAGATTTAAAATTCTTGTTTGCCAATTGTTTAAATGTGGGGGGCTATTAACAAATACAAATTATTTTTTGTTAAAGACAAGCTTTACTTTCATCTAGCATCGGTTCTTCCGAAAGTGAATGGAGCTATAAAAAATGCTCTAATAAGACAATTGTCTTTGCCTTTATAAAAGTATAATTTAACCAGATTTTATTTATTTAATTTTACTTTTTATCAGCATCTTGTAAATTTAACTGTGGCGTCAGTGAGGGCTGAAGATCAAAGTTTCATGAATATGACAATAGGAACTTATATGGCAGCAAGGTCTGGAGAGATAGGATCACTGACGTCTCCAACAAAACGGGTGGGTAAAATGTAAATGTATGTTTGTACAATGTATATGTTAATTTGTATGTTATTTAGTGCAGTGTGTGTTTGCACAAGGTATATTCTGTTGTGCCATGTATGTTGGCACAAGGTTAATATTTGAGCATGTATGTGTTGGTATGGGTGATTAAATGTATTTTTGCTTGGTACAATGTACATGTGAGTTGGTACAATGTATATGTGAGTTGGTACAGTGTATATTTACATGATCATTTATTAGAAAATTCTATTAAACCCTAGGCACTACTTGTTATTGCAAGAAAAAAATAAAATAATATTATTATTCCTCATGAGTTATCAAATGACTGGCATAACAATTGACTTTCAGCCTGAGTTTGGAATGCCTGTATACAGTCCACCCATAGCAAGAACTGTTCTACCTATGCTCCTTCCAAGTGAAAGTAAGCTGTCATTTTAAATTACAAATTTTGATAAATTTACCATTAGAGAATAGACTAGAAGTAGTAATATCCTTCATTCCATTCCAGAGTTGTTTAATTTAATTTGTTTGAAAAGTAAAGGAAGATTAGCAAAAACTGTCAGTTTGTTAATGTCAATTTTGTCTTTCATCTATGCAGTCAATTTGGGCTCTTAACAAATTTCATTTCTGTCAAATGGCTTTTGTAATCACCCTTGCCAATAAACTAAAGTTAAATGAATCTTTGATCTCAATCCCTTTTTTATATGAAATCACTTGTGTGGAACCTTCTTCCCTAACGTAAATCACAAATAAGTCTTGAGAAGATTGGCTTAACCAGCTGAAAGTGTATGCATTAAAACAATAGATGTTAGCTCAAACTCTCACTGTGCCAGAGGTCAATTTTCTCTTGTTCTTGGGATTCACACAAACACCAAGATTTAAATGTTCAACTTTACGTTGATTTCATCTGATTAGCATTTTTTGTAGGGTATTACTGAGTCATGAAATATTTCTGATTCTCGATTTAATTTATTTCTGACTCTTAAAACTTTGCATCCGTTCCTCAGTTTACACTCCAATTAATACAAAGCTGACAAGAGCAAAACCAAAGGATGATTTCAGTTACCTGAAAAAACCGCCCAAGTTTATGTTAGATGAGTCACTTCCTAATTCAGGTGATCAGAGCAAAATGCCTCTTCCTGCTACAAAAACTCCAAACATGGACCCTAGGCCGAGCGGCCAACAGGATTCAAATGGTCTGTTTGACAGTGAGTGCAATAACTCCGGTAAGCCAGCACACAAGTTGTCAGATGATAATCCTGCGGATACGTTCGTGACTCGGCCGTCAGATGGTGCACCCAAGACATCAGCCGAGAGTCCGCTGGTCACCGGTCACAAAAATTCTAACGACAACCCAGCTGCTGATCCACATCAACAAAGAGCAAGCTGTGAAAGTGCTACACACACACCACCAAGAACCAGCAAGAAAATGGGGGAGGAGTCACATGGCTATGCATCTCAGCTATTCACAGATGCTGCGCAAACACCGCCAAGAAATAGCAAGAAAATGGGGGAGGAGTCACATGGCTATGCATCTCAGCTATTCACAGATGCTGCGCAAACACCACCAAGAACCAGCAAGAAAATGGGGGAGGAGTCAGATGGCTATGCATCTCAGCTATTCACAGATGCTGCGCAAACACCACCAAGAACCAGCAAGAAAATGGGGGAGGAGTCAGATGGCTATGCATATCAGCTATTCACAGATGCTGCACAGGATGGAACAATTAACTCAACCTCTAGTGGTATGTTCAACGTGTTGCTGGGTATACTTTAAATACTGGTGATGTCATTTCCATTTGTTCGGTAGAGAATAATTTATTTGTGGGTCATATTTGTTATGAAAATCATTCAAAATAATAAATCAGTTGAAAGAGTTATTTAGTGCTGTGGTAAACATTAGAAAAGTTGAAAATGTAGGTCATTAGAAGAGTTATTTAGTGCTGGGGTAAACATTAGAAATGGTTGGTCATTAGAGGAGTTATTTAGTGCTGTGGTAAACATTTGAAAAGGTAGGTAGGTCATTAGAGGAGTTATTTAGTGCTGTGGTAAACATTAGAAAAGTTGAAAATGTAGGTCATTAGAAGAGTTATTTAGTGCTGGGGTAAACATTAGAAATGGTTGGTCATTAGAGGAGTTATTTAGTGCTGTGGTAAACATTTGAAAAGATAGGTCATTAGAAGAGTTATAAAATCGACTCCTCAGAGTACAAATTGGAATGTATCAAAAAGCAAATTGTGATAAGTATCAAAAGCAAATTGTAATGAGAGAGTTACATAGCATTTTAACCTAAAACTTTTATCAGAATACAATGACTATCTCAAATTGGTTACTTTGGCCCAATAAGTGGATTGTAATGTTAGGCAGCTTCAGTTGAAAATATAACCTGAAAACTAAAAAACAAAACTTGGCTAGGTCTTACTACAGAACTTGACTAGGTTTACTACAGAACTTGACTAGGTCTTACTACAGAACTTGACTAGGTCTTACTACAGACCTTGACTAGGTCTTACTACAGAACTTGACTAGGTCTTACTACAGAACTTGACTAGGTTTACTACAGAACTTGACTAGGTCTTACTACAGAACTTGACTAGGTCTTACTACAGAACTTGACTAGGTCTTACTACAGACCTTGACTAGATCTTACTACAGAACTTGACTAGGTCTTACTACAAAAACAATGGTTTAGTTTTCCCACTCTGTCTTTTCAATGTTCACTGAGCAATATGCATTTGTTTGTTTTTCAAACACATAACTAATTAAAGCACAAATTTTAAACGGGTGTGGGCTGCATAAATCGACCTCACAGGTTTTGTTGGATCCCTCGACAGCACTTGCCCACCATTGTCACACATTTTGAAAACATAAGTTGTGACATTTTCCTATGTTTTATGTTTGTCTTCCCCAGACCTGACATTTAGCAGCCTGCACAGATTTCTAGAGGGTTTGGATGCCAACACTACACACCCTGAGAAGCTGATCCTGTCGGAGGTGTCCAAAAAAGTTCATGAGAAAAATATTACCAGACAAACAAAGCCTGCAGAGCAACAGGTAACAGCTGAGCGCGGAGAGGCAGTGGATAAGCCAAAGGGGGATGCAGATGGAGAATCTTTCCAAAACTTCAAGGTGGTCGGAGGTGCCGCAAGCCAACCAAGTGTCCAGCATTCACTCAAACCAAATAATACCCTAGACGTCCAGGCAAACCCGGCAGCCAAACATCTCATTCCTAGTGTGGACAGCGTAGGGCCAGCTGCAAGCAGCACAGATGCGACACCCCTGTTCAAAATACCGTATCCTGTGCAAAGGGTCTCCCCCAAGAAAAATTTTGGTAACAGTAAATTACCTAAATTGAAACAGATCCCAACACAGACTGGTCAGAAGGATAAAGCCGTGAATATGCAGAATCAAAGCCAGAGTCTGCCAGCCGAGGGGAGCCCGGGAGTCAAAGTGAAAAGAGCTGAAGATCAGTTTAAGAGAGACAGTGTTGATGCGGCACAGACCAGCCAACATAACTCTACCACGGCTGCCGGCATGACTTTGACCGAATGCACGCTATGGCCAGACACATCTCAAGCTGACATAAGAACCATTAGTAAACCAGATTCGGCTGAGCACAAGAGGCCAGTGCAGCAGTTCAGTTCTGGTGCTTCTTTCAGAGAAATCACACCAAGGATTGATGCAAAAAAAACAGCTGCAGAAATCCCACAAAGGGACATTGCTCCTCAGCTTGGTTTTCAGGCTTACCCTAAAGAACTTGTCCAAATGTGTCAATTCAACGAACAAGGACATTTGGTGGGATCTGATGAAACTGCGTCCAATGATTCTCACATGACGTTAGAAAGCGTCTCTCTCAGTCTCCAGCAGACCCAACCGGTTTACGCAGCTGCCGAGCCAACGTTCAGCCAGGATTTCCTGCCAAGGAATTACTTCAAGCAGAGCGGCCCCATGAAGGCTGGTTGCAACCAGACCCTACAAAATGAAACGGCTGAATCCAGGGTGGAGAGTGAGGAGGGACAGTTTCATTCTCTGATGCCAGATGACACACAGTCCATCCTCCATGAGACTGAGCTGCACCATAACTTTGCCTACAGCACACCAATGCCAGGGAATCAGAGTGCCTTGCAGAAGTTCGCCAACATGAGTCAGTTACAAGAAAGATGTAAGTTTTACATTAACATCAAAGATGTTGTTTTGACGTTACACAATCGGATAGTTATAAAGTGAGTTGAATTTTAAACTATTTTTGAAACTGCATTGATCAGAAAGTTTACAGAGGGCTACTCCATAAATAATAATAAATGTATTAAAAAATAGTTATATTTATATTTTTTTTCGCCAACATAGCCCCAGTGAGGGCTATTAGTGTTAGCAGAAGTATTTGCTGTGTCTCGTTTCAGGCTAAAAATTCTAAATATTAATGTAAGTGATCACAATGATTTTTGGGTTCAAGAAAGTATCCTGTGCACGTGAACACTAGTAATCCATAGTATCTATTTTATTGTTTTCAGCTATATTACCGATGGTTACTCCAAGTACTGTCATCAACTTCCTGAAAGTACCAAACTCCTTGACCTTTCCTGATGCTTGCTGTGTACCATTATCACAGCAGACGACCTTCCCGATAGTCAATCTCCTCAATACCGGGGTCAAATGCTTGCTTACCATCAGGGAAGTTACATTTCAAGGTCAGAAGATAAGCGCCAGTCACTCTCCGTTTGAGATGAAGAGAAGCATCGTACTGAGTCCTTCTTCAACAGAGGATGTTCAGGTATCTGTCAGGTGTTTCAGTTAAGACAACTAAATTGTTCAATGCACTTGTAATTGAGTTACTCGGTCATATTATTGGGGGGAGTGGAATTGATGCATGGTATAGTCGTCCTGAGTGAGCCTTCCAGACACACTGCTTTGCTACCCTGCCTGCAAGATGCCACGCCAAATGGTAGGCCATTGATGACAGGGCAGTGATGAGGTTAGGACAACGATGACTGGGCAGTGATGTGGTTAGGGCATTGATGACTGGGTAGTGATAAGGTTAAGGCAACGATGACAGGGCAATGATGAAACGGAAGTTATGAGGTTTGGGTAATGATGAGGTTAAGGCAATGACAGGGCATTGAGGCTGGGGCAATGATGACGGGACAGTGATGAAATTGGGGCAATGATGAGATTAGGGCATTGATGACAGGGCAGTGATAAGGCTAGGGCAAAAATGACTGGGCAGTGATGAAATTGGGGCAATGATGAAAGGGAAATTATGAGGTTAGGGCAACAACTGGGCAGTGATGAAATTGGGGTAATGATGAGGTTAGGGCATTGATGACAGGGCAGTGATCCGGTTTAGGGCAATGATGACTGGGCTGTGATGAAATTGGGGCAATGATGACAGGGCATTGATGAAATTGGGGCAATGATGAAAGGGAAGTTATGAGATTAGGGCAATGATGAAGTTAAGGCAATGACATGGCATTGAGGCTGGGGCAATGATGAGGTTGGGGCATTTATGTTAGGGATACTGCAATGACAGGGCATTGAGGTTAGGGCAATGAAGATGTTGTGAGTATTATTAGATTGGTGATTGCCTCCCTTTAATTTGTTTGGAATACATACATCTTACAGTGCTTAAGTCTTAAAGACTATGCATGTATTATCAGTGTTCAGTTACACTGGAATGAGTTATAAAGTTTTCCTCAATTTTCTTTCCCCACATGTTACAGGTTTTATTTCGACCCAAAGACCAAGGAGAGTTTTCGGCTGTGGTTGAAATTTTTACTCTGAGTTTGACAAGACAGCAGGACAACAGAACTTACACATTGCTGCTGTCAGCCTATGGAGAGTTTCCATGCCTCCAGGTAAAAAAAAAAAGGTTTTGTTTAAAGTAAACATTTTGTTTCTGTTAACCACCATGAGTTATCCATATTTACTGTCATTATGTTGGTTTCTGTTATCCACTATGAGGAATCCATAACTCAAATTTATCTCTACATGGCCAGGATGTTTTTTCCCTCCAACTCACCTTGTGGTATATGACTACAAGCTTACCCAATCTCCATGTCCCTCTCTTTCCCTTTCTCTCTATCTCTCTGCAGACTGTAACTTTGATGTTAAATCTTATTATTCCTCTGACACCTGGCATTGATGCTATGAAGTCTTATCAAATTGAATGATGCCTATCATTACAGATATCACCTTCTGATGATGAGTTAAACTTTGGAGAGTTACTATGGGGTCACACAGCCTGTCGAAGTATTAAAATAAAGAATACAGGTCGTGCCACGGTTCCACTGAGATTTTCAATATTTAGGGTACGCCAAGTTTCTTCTTTTTAAAAAAAAAATCCTTTTCATTGTTACGTTTAAAAGAATTTCCAGCATAAAGAAGAAATTAGTCAATAAATCATATCTGTTTTGTTTCTTTCCCTTAGAAAGATGCAGGGTCTGTACTCTGCAATTTTTCCTTCCATGAGACAGACGGCCCAGCCAACTTATCAATGATCTCCCACACTACAAGGCCTGCAGCTGTCGGAACTGTCCTGTCCATGTCACTGCCGGGGGTCAAGGAAGGGAAAGCAAGTCTTGAGACTGTTAATGTGTACTGCAGAGCTAAAGAAGTTCAGAATGTTCATCAAAGTGAGATATAAATTATATAAGTAGTTTGTATAGTGTAAAAAGATAGAGATTTTATATATACTAAAAGATGTGACCTGGAATGCATATTGCGCATTACCCTACATGCTCTTGTGAAGTCTCAACATCTAAAAAATCATTTTTTTTTTTGTAACTGAATCGGGTCTGATGTATTTGCAAAATAAATTTGGCTATTCTCCAAGCCATTGAAATCCATGTATAGATTTTATTGTGTCTGACATCATTAGATTTTGACAAGTTTTTATTTTCTATATAATGTAACCCTGCCTAACCCTTTTACAGGTCCCTGAAATAAAAAGAAACCTATTTTCTAAAAATTGTAAACACATGTCAAGAAATTTAAAAAATCTATGTACCATTTTAAATATCTGTAAAAGTAACGGATGTTGATAAATTGTTTTTTTCATTAATAATGCAATCAACCTTGTTTCCTCGCTCTTGAACTATATTATCGGAAAACTGTTAAACAGAATTTTTATATCTAAAGTAAAATATCTTAATTATTGATCTTTAAAAAATTTACCTCCACTTGGCCATGAACTCAATTTTGTGTAAAATTGAAAACAACAAATATTTATTATTTTCAGACAACTTAACTTGTTATCGCCCCTGAACTATATTTTAGGGGAATGAAAAAAATTATCTTGATCCGTATCTTTCAAAAAATGAGGAAATCTTGATGTCCTTAGTTTTAAAGAACATCTTGTCCACTATTTTCCCTTTCCAGCTTCAATGAGTTTTGTGGTACTGGTATACTTATTTAAATATGCCCACAACGTGTCAACCCCTTAAAACTGTATTTTCCCACATTTGTACAAAATATTGATTAAATTCAATGATGATAAAATAAAAAAATAAAAAAATAATGTATTTTCAGAGTACCTTGAAAATTCTGAGAAATGCCAAGCTGCTTTAAGCATGGGTATCGACATGCCTGTGGAGGATATTGCTGCCCTCTCTGAAGTCAAGTTGCAAGTCACACTTGGTCTCTATAAACTACATGTGGATAAAGATGTGGGTAGATAATTGTTGACATTATATAATTCCTCTAGTGTAAACTTTGTGTTTCCTAGCAGTTATACAATATTTGATGCCTTCAGTATCACTGTTTATTTTAATTAGATTTTGCTCTCACCAAGGTATCATGATGTCTATTATTATCATTTCTGCTTATTGCTTTGTTTCTGGTCACTTTAAGCATGTAGAAAAAATATTTTTTTTAAAAACAATACATGAAGACTTTATAAGTTATGCTTTCTATATCTGCCTAAAGGGTCCACAAAATATCTTTCCTATTTTCACTGGTCCACACTGCTATTTTCACTGGTCCACACTGCTATTTTCACTGGTCCACACTGCTATTTTCACTGGTCCACACTGCTATTTTCACTGGTCCACACTGCTATTTTCACTGGTCCACACTGTAAAAAGGTTTGTATACAATTTTTTGAGACTGTTAGTTAAATGTAAAAGTGATTGTTTTCATGAAAAAATTAATTTTCTTTCAGAAACTTTCCATCTCAGCAGCACCAGGGACGACGGGTTGTGGGACAATTAAAATCATCAACTCTGGGAACCTGCCTATGCCAGTGGACTTGTCTCTTGAACCAATCAGAGAACAGTTCTCCATCGACACAAACCATGTGGTGGTACCCAATGGTGGCCACGCCTCCATCCAAGTGGCCTTCACTCCACAGGCCACGCGTGAAGATCTGGTGGATAATAAAGTGTGAGTTACCTCCACATGCTCTCATAGTTCTGATCTGACAGCTGGACTGAACTTGAGAAATTAGCTAGAAGAATGATTGGCTGTGATGATGGGCATGGATCTGAGACTTTCAATGATTGGCTGTGAAGATAGGCATGGGTCTGAGACTCTCTTTGAGTTGTTTGTTGTCTTCTGTGACAGTCCTGTTATTTAGTTGTCTACTATGACAGTCCTGTTATTTAGTTGTCTACTTTTACAGTTTTTGTTAAGATAATGGTAGTTAAACATGTTAACAAATTTATCATCCAAAACCAAAGCTAACTTGTTGCATGATTCTTTTTGATGATGCTAGGAATGTCATGCTGCAAAATGCACTCGACTCCTTTTATGTGTCGGTGACTGGGAAGATCAAATGCAAGCAGGTGAAAATCTCTGGATCAGCTTCTTACCTCATATATGGGGGAGTCAAACTAGGTCAGACAAAGTGAGTAGCCCGTTCTTATGTTACTATCTTACTCTCTTTAATTATTTTAGAACATTCTGTGGCTAGTCACACACTGTTCCCTTGGTATTGATGTTATTTTTAATTAAGGGGTCCAATTAATTTCTCTTAATAAACTTCTCTAGAACAAAATTATACATTTTTATATTTTTGAAAAGTCAAATATAATGGGTTTTTTTTCTTGTTTTTTTCCTTATATCCAATCAGGAAGTTATGTTTTTCTTTTATTCCTGATGATGATGTTGAAATTAAAATTTGGATCAGAGAATCGAGATTTGCCTTCAAAGTAAGTATTTCAAATATTGTTTTGAAATTAAAAGTTTAACCAATTCCCGTAAGAAAAAATTATAGATCTAATTCAGCATGGATTTTAAAAAAATGTTGATGTTTTTTTTTTCCCCCTGATTTTTCAGCTCTTGAACCAAGATGGCAGTGTTGTTGAGAGTATGGAGCTAAAGGTCACCAAAGGGAAACAGTATGCTTTTTACATAAACTTCACCCCTACTGAGTTGGATGGCTATACTGGAGATCTACTTCTACAGATTTTGTATGCAAATAGATACGTAGTAAGACTTTTTGTTCTAACTCTTTTATATTTTTTTGTGGAATGACTTTGACTCTGGAACCCTTTCTCAGTAAATTTGTATTCATCTTTAGGAAATATAACAAATTCTCACAACCTTTTGACCCAACAGTAATTAACATAATATAATTAATGTTTTAGAACACACGCAAAATTTAAAATGAAAGGAACAAGATTTAGTAGGATTCATATAAAGTATTCATGAAATATTGTAGCATTCTTTACAAATACAGTATTCATTGAATATTGTATCATTCTGTACAAATTCAGTATTCATGAAATATTGTATCATTCTGTACCAATACAGTATTCCATCTATGCCCTGGTGGCTTACTCGTAGCTTAAAATTTTGTCATGCAATTATTAGTTTGTATTATACTATCTTAATGCACACACACACAAAAATCTTACATGTAACTGTATTTATGTACAGCGCAGTGAGCCCAGCCCTAGGCTGGGGTACCGCGCTATATAAGACCACTTATTATTATTATTATTATTATTATTATTATTATTATTAATAAAAAACAACTGAAAACTAATTTTGAAAAAGTTATTTTCAAGAAGAAACATACTAAATCACCAAGCAGTGAAAAAAAACCACATTAAATTTACATAGAAATCAGTCATTACATGGATTTATATTAAAGTAATGTAGTTTTCTTTAAGCATTAAATCTATTCCAAAAAGAAATCAATTCGCACACTAAAATAAGTAAAAATATGTTTATGTTTTAAGCAAATCCTTTTGAACCACAAAACAAAATCTGGCAATCCAAAATTGTTAACACACATTTTGTAGTATAAGTCATAATCACTTACCTATGCAGTAAGGAACAAAGCAAGTCAAGTTAGCTCTTTGTCAACTTTGCTGTTGTAATGCAATGTAGACACGTTAAAAATTCATAAAAATATTTTCTTGCCATGTTTAAACTTTAAGTATATCAAATGTTTATTTCAATGCACAGATACCCATGAGTGGTTACGGGGGTCAGAGCAATCTTAAACTAAGTCATGTCAATCAGTCGGAAGCAGGAGAATGGTGGCTGGACATGGGTGACATGGTTTCTGGCCAGTCCATCATACGTAAGATTGTTGTCAGCAACACAGGAGTGAGGTCATGTTTCATTAAAGCTGCTCTGACGGGTATTTGAATTGGTTTATTAACTGTCTTTCGTTTATTTGTTAAAATGGTGCACTAAAGCTCTTTTAGTTAATTTATATATATATGAATGAGGGAGTCAAACAGGCAGAAGATGTGCAAAACAAAGCCCGTGCAACAAAAAGAGCATTATAGAATGCCAAGGTTAACCAGAAGTCAAGGTTCTCCGGTGAGAAGCGCAGCCGAGATAGCCATTCCAGGGTCGGTTTCATAAGCCATTTGAGGTGTGAATTAGCTACTCCATCATCACACAAAGACAAAATGATGCTAATGGCTTTTTTAAGTATGGCATTTTCTAAATAAAAGCATCTCATAATAGAATGAACTTCTCATGTGCTATTTTAAAGAAAATGAAGAATGTTCAAAACGCTACAACAACAATAATTTTCTGGTACTTGTAGTTTATACTTAACATGTGCACAGATACCAAATCTAAAGTCAGATTTTGTGTAGTCCATCAAGATTTTAAGTTATGCAGCTTCATGTGAAAATTAAATTGTGTATTATGCCAATAAATTACAGAACTGGAATTTGCCTATAATTGTGACTATACTCAGCGTGAGTATTCAGAACAAAAATGTGAAAAACAAAGTACTATTCTTTTAAAACTTGAAATTAAAATTTAACCTATTTCCAATAAAGAAATTTTATGTTTGCATAAATTTAAAAAGAAAAAAAAAGTAAATAGAAAGTCTTAATAAAAATCGTTCAGAAATCTATTTTAAAATTTTGCAGTACCACACAATTTAAGAGGACAAAAAAATATTGTCATGTTTTTAAATCTAATGTGAATAAAAGTTTCTTTCTCCAATGAAAGCACACTTTACAAAATTTAGTCTCCAGCTTAACTATATAAGAGTTCAAAATCGCTTTAGGCACTTCCTCTTGCGTTTGTGAGTGGCTGCTGTTGCCTGCTGCAGAAACCAGCTGTAAGCACCCCTTGTGTATGAATAGCAGTGGCCTTGATACCGTGTTTCCAAGGTGAGGAAATCTCTCTCCATGCTCATCGCTTTCATCAACCAAGTTTGATGGTAAAAATTCCAGATGTGAATGTAAGAATTGCATTTTAGGGACGTCAGGCAACCAAGTTGTTTGTGGCTGTGAGCATGCTGCTAACCAGTTCAGCATAATTCTGGAGATTCAAAAGAAAGTTTTGTACCACTTATGTACATGCACCAGAAGCAGCAAGTTCAAGTGGGCTCATCTTGCTTTTAAATACAGTATTTTTCATCGTTCGCAGATTTCTGGCCCAATAAAAATTCCAGATTTAAGCTAAGCATCATGTTTTATTGCTTCAAATTTCTCTTTCAGATTCTGGAAACCATTGTTAATTATGATCCATTGCTATTAAAAAATGCTTCCCATGGGGCCCAGATTAATGTGAAGTGGTGGAAAGTTCATTTTCAATAGATCATCCAATGATATGTATTGTAAGAGGCCACTGTTTCACTTTGTAATGCTGTTCCACAAGCAAAAAAGTTCATATGATTTGTGTACCCCAGATGAAATCCTAGAAGAAGTTCTACCACTTTCAGGTCAGCACAGGTGTGTCAATTGTGTTCTGAGCCAATGATCACCTTTTAAAATGAATTTCACATGTCTCTTTGAGGCCTCAGCATGAGTTAAATGAGTTATATGTTATAGGAACATACGATTTTTCGTTACCATTGTGCAACAACACAGCTTTCAAACTCCAGTCTCCACTGATCAGGAAGATATTCGCAACCTAGTTAAAGCAATAGACTGTTCACATCAGTACTGAAAGAGATATTATTGTCTAGTTTATAGTTTGTATATATAATAATACCTGTACTATATATACATTTCTTGAATGCTTGCATAACTTAAAATCTAGACGATCTAGGCAGATTCTGACTTCACATTTGGGATCATTGCGTTTAAATCCATATAACCCATATGTTTTACTTTCAGTAACAATATCTTTGTTGACCAGTGCAATATTGTGGAATTATTTTTCTATTAAATATTTATTTTTATAGATAATTCTATTAAATATCTATTTTATTTATGTCCCAAATCATTTGAAAGTAATTCATGATGCCTTTTACGTATTTTGGAAAATAAAATGAAATTAAAGTTTGCTTTGGCCATGACAGCTCAACAGTGAAAATGATCTACTGGTTGGGACATTAAAATAATAAAATATTGTACTCTCTTCTTAGATGTCTCAGGCCACGAGTTTCAACCTAATCGTGGCACTATAATGCCCCCTGGCCTTTTAATGCCGCCTGGCGATTCAAAGGTGGGTAAAGATAGCTGTCTTTTGGCAGTGCTGATATATGGCTGTCTTTTAAGTGACAGTGCTGATACATGGCTAATCTTTTATGTGGCTTTGCAGATACTCGTCTTTCTTTTATGTGGCAGTGCCGATACATGACTGCCTTTTAAGAGGCATTTGAGATACATGGCAGTCTTTAAATTTAAAGTGACGATGGTGATACATAATAATCTTTTATGTAACATTCTTGATACGTAGCTGTCTGTAAAGTTGATACTGATAAAATATTATATAATTATAACAACATTTTTTTTAAAAGTGCACCGTTTTTCATGATTTGCTCAATATATTTTGAGGATTTACATCAGCGGTTACTCGGCTAGCAACAGTGCCAAGTTTATTGCTTATTTGTTCCTGAAAATGTGTCTTTGTGTTGTTTGATGAAATAAAAAAACAAAATTTCTAACACGACCCACAGTAGCAAAGCTTTTAATCCATTGATTTTTGCGAAATTCTGCCGATGATAATTTCTCAGACTTTGTTGATAAATTTTATGCCTTTTCTAATTTTACATTATATTTTTCTGTAATTTAAGGAGCTAGTTGTGATGTTGAACCCAACTCAGAAAGAAATTAATATGTGTGGCTGTGGCCGAGCCCTTGTAGCAGTCTTGGAGTTAATGTATGGGGATGAAGTCAACAGACAGCTTTTCATTGCGTGAGTACATTCACTATCTTGGGCATTTTAATTAAAAATCAAAAATTTAATCTGTTCAGTTCTTTCACGGTTTAAATATTTAAGATTTCTGTGGTTTTATGCTACGCTTAAATATTGGCTATGATGTTCTGTATTTTTAAATATTAAACTACTAAATTTTATGTGATGTTCAAATGATGCTTTTGAGGTTTATCCGCAATTTAATTGTAAGAAATTATTTTTAACCCAAGCCAACCAGGGAAAGCTCCAAAACATTTTTTGGACAAATTTGATATTCCAATGATGTCGAGCCACAAAGAGTTATTCAACATAGAAAGTGAGTTTTAATTAATTACCTTTTGATGTATGCCAATTATTATTAGATATATTTCATATGTTAGATGTTTATCATATGAGAAGCTGAGCAGTGCCATGAGAACCAGCGTGGGCAAAGTATGTATGCATCGGACTCGACACACAAGTACCCCACACATACTATTTTAAAGATTTACTCCCCCAATCTGCTATGCTCGACAAATCAATTCAGGGCACGTGGACCAAACATAAACTTTTAAAAGTTACTTGGAAAATCCATCCAAAAAAAAAGATGTGCAGCACACCTGTGGTTTAGATGCCCCCCCCCCCCCTTCAAAAAAAAAACCCCTGGTTTTATAAAAGCTCGACAAATCAATTCAGGGCACGTGGACCAAACATAAACTTTTAAAAGTTACTTGGAAAATCCATCCAAAAAAAAAGATGTGCAGCACACCTGTGGTTTAGATGCCCCCCCCCCCCCTTACAACAAAAAAGCCCTGGTTGTATAAAGATATTATAATTTGCTGCAAGATAAATAACTGCAGATTGTAAAAAGTTTAGGTGATTGGCTGTGTATATTTTATATGAAAAGATTATGTTAGCCCTCAAAGCAGCTTGTGACTTATATTGACTGCAAGAACATCTGGCACAGACTGAAAATATAATTAAAGAATTTTTATCTTTTCCAGTGAAAAATATTCAAAGCCATGGGGATAATTACTCCCTGTTGAAGAAGTCTACATCAAAATTAAGCATTGGTGTTTATGGAATGTCCATGAAGGCCAAGCATCCAGGTTCACCAACACTGGCTACCAAACTTACAGCTTCTCCTGTCGTTAGGTTTGTCTTTAATACTTTTAAACAAATAAAAAATAATAATTCATGGAAAAAAAAATGTAAACAAAAATTAAAAAATTAACATTTGGTCATCACGAAGAGTCAAGTCTCTTTGACAATATTTTTTAGCTCTTACTTAGTGAGTCATTAACTAGTTCAACTGGATTGTTTTGCATAAAAAAATCACTTCAGTGAAAAAAAAAAGGAAGTGAAATCATCAAAGCATAAAACATTACTTTCAAATATTAAAGAATCATTACAAGGGTACTTTTTAGATTATTTATTTTTAAAGACAAATCAATTTTTGTATGCTTCAGCTTATATTTAATAGACCAAATTCATTTACATCTATCAGGTAAATTCCATAGACTAAATTCATTTACATCTATCAGGTATATTCCATGGACAAAATTCATTTGTATCCATCAGGTCACCAGCATACCCCTCCCGACCCGTCCTGACACAAGTCAACTCAAATATAAGTCAAGCAGATAAGAATAAAGATGAATGGATCGTAGCTCCCAGTGAGATTCATCTGAATGGTTGGTTCAGTCTGTATAGATGTAATCCTTTTTATCAACATCTCTTAGGATAAGGGTGTTTTTATTGGCCGGTGAGACTGTTGGCAGCTAAATTTTGTTAATTCTAAGCAACAGTTACCTGAGCCATCAAAGGCAGTTAATTTTGTTAATTCTATGCAAGTTAGCTGAGCCATCAAAGGCAGCTAATTTTGTTAATTCTATACAAAAGTTAAGTGAGCCAGTTAGCTGAGCCATAAGGGGCAGTTAATTTTGTTAAATCATCGACACTATTAGTGACTAGTCAGATTTGTTAATGTTTCTTATTGGTCCCATTTGTTTATATTTTAGTTGGAGACACTTCATCTAAGGACACTGTTCAGGTCATCAATTTTTCTTCAAATGAGATCTCGTAAGGATTCTTCATAACATATTAGCTTATAATGAATCAGTTATCTTAGAAGCAATTGTGAATCTGTGTATTTCTTTTTTTTTTTCTTTTTTAAAAGTTTTATATTTTACCTTAAAAAAAAAGAAATATCCACCAGAAGTTTGGAGCTGTAACTGCATCTTTCACTTATACCACTTATAGGTTCCCCCAAAAATTGTACATTGTTATTAGAAATTGGTTTGACAGAAAAATGATTGACAGACGTTTGGAAGAATGGAAGTCAAGTCAAATTAAAAACTTTTGTTGTTGTTGTTAAGTCTTAGAGGTGAGAGTAAGAAATGGGAAAGATTTGTTCAAAAGGAAATTGTTTGAAGTAAGAAATAGAAAAAACAACACAATGTTGCTAAGGCTAAGAGGTGTGAGTGAGAAATGGGGAGATTTGCTCTCACGGAATAGTGATCGAATAGTAAAAATACAAAACATACCGTGGTCTGTACAGTTGGCCTTGTATGATCAATGACGAGTACTAAAATATAAATAAAAACTAGTACTTTAGTTGATGGCTACATGTACCGGTACAGAAAGAAAGAGAAGCAGCTTGATGTACAATTTTTTGGAAACGCGAAAACGTCAAAGACTGTTTGTTAGCATGACGAATTGTGGCCTAACTGCTCATAAAGCATCTAATAGCTCCAAAATTGAGTAAATAATGAACAGGACTGAGATTGACATTACACAGAAAAATTCAACCTAGTTTCAGTTCTACCGAATTTCAGTTTGAGCAAAATTCTGTCAATCAATTTTCCATCTAACAAATTTCTTTCAAACAAATTTCCAGATTCAGGACATAACATGGCAGAGGCATCATAAAAATATTTGTAAGGATTTGGGCTCACAGTGAATTAGGTTGTATATGCTTATTAAGGTGTGACCAAATATTCAGTGTTAGTTTAGCAGAGCTGAATTCCTAACCACCATCCAAGTGTTCTTGTGTTGATGTAATGTTACTGTTTCTCGCTGAGCCACATATGACCCCACCTCATGAAATGATTTAACTTGGTGAATGGGATCAGGGTCACCCAATTGCCAGGCCAGGGGTGGATTGGTCTACTCTTATTTAGCAGGCCAGATATTTATAACAACGCTCAGGTCTAGTTGGTCAGTTGGAGAGATGCCGGAGACATGCAACAATGCTCATATCTAGTTGGTTAGTTGGAGAGATGCTGGACATAAACAACAATGATCAGGTCTAGTTGGTCAGTTGGAGAGATGCCGGACATATACAACAATGCTCAGGTCTAGTTAGTCAGTTGGACACAATAAACATGTTGTTACTGAGCAGAGAGCCCCTGTGACCAAGAATACATCTGATGTTAAATGTGCAAAGTAAAGTGATGAATAGACCCAACTGACCTGGGACCAAGAATACATCTGATGTTAAATGTGCAAAGTAAACTGATAGATAGACCCAACTGACCTGGTACCAAGAATACATCTGATGTTAAATGTGCAAAGTAAAGTGATGAACAGACCCAACTGACCTGTGACCAAGAATACATCTGATGTTAAATGTGCAAAGTAAAGTTATGAATAGACCCAACTGACCTGTGACCAAGAACACATCTGATGTTAAATGTGCAAAGTAAAGTGATGGATAGACCCAACTGACCTTTTCTTCCTTTGATTCTCTGAGGCATTTTTTTGTTTCCTCAGGTTTTCTGTAGACTGTGATGAAAATATTTCTGTGATGCCAAAGGTTGGCACGGTGCAGTCCAAGTAGGTCCATGAACATTCAAGTTTTCGTTAATTAGCTTTTTATTTTTTAAAAATATATTTATATAATTTTTGAAAATCTTTTTGGTCTGCATGTAAATTGGAAAAGGACTTTAGAACTGTGATTTTTTTAATGTTCAAATTTCAAACAAATGTACCGTATTTTCCGGCGTATAAGACGACCCCCTATTTTCCTTTTAAAATCTAGGGTTTGGTTGTACACCAGCTCATAAGACGACCCCCGGCATATAAGATGACCCCCAACGTTTGAAAAGATTTTCATAGGTTAAAAAGTCGTCTTATACGCCGGAAAATACGGTAAGGACTTGATAATCTTAGTCAATTTTTCTATGTATTTCTTCAGGGCCACAACAATGCTGAACATAAGTCCCAACCTTTCTCATCCAGGCTTTAAAGAGAGTGCCAGCTTGTATGGACTAGTTCGTGTGCACAGTCAGAATCAAATTAAGGTCAGTTGGTCGGTTGCAATGGTAATAACCTTGAGACTGATGTTAAGTTGCAAAGTTACCCTTACCATGTAGCAGCCCAAACACTTGTTTTCTTGGTGGTGTGAGACCGCACCAATAACGACTAAACATGTTTATATTTTTGTTGCTTTTGGGCTTCCCCACATTACTTGCACTAGCACAATGCTAGAACTGTATCATATTGAATATAACACAGTGTTAGAGCTGTATAACATTGAATATAACACGATGCTAGAATTGTATAATATCATTGAATATAACATAATGCTAGAACTGTAAAATATCATTGAATATAACAGTATTATTAAATACTATAATTATTAAATATTATAATTAAAAATGTCAGTATTATTCTTTAATTAAAAGAATGCCTATATTCTTGAGAAATTAAATAAAAAATGTGTTACCTGAGAGAGGTTAGTTCTGCGTTAAATTTACTTGTTCTTACACATCTTAATTTTCTGGAACTTAATAAAAATCAAATTATAGATACTGTAACGATATTATGGAGTGATGATGTTACTTGTAAAATATAGTTGTAGTATTAACTATTCACGTTCACAAGCACATTCACAAAAGTCTGTTGTTTAAGCATCACAAGAAACATTTATTAGATATAATTACACCACATGAAATGCATCTCTGAAATTGGAGTAAAATATAATTGACGTTGTCTATTTACTTCACATAATTAATATGATTCTTACACAGATCTATTGACTGAATAATCCAATGCTATAAGATTCACAAAACCGATTTTACGTCCATGATTGTTCATCCTCTCTGTGCATCACCTATCATAATTAACTTCCTGTTCCTTCTAACTTATAAAAACAATACATTATTCTGAAACAAAAATATTATCTAAATATTTGATCTATGACAGATACTTAACTATCTTTCAACAGTACATCAAAGTATATGTCACGCATAAGCCAGTGAGGCTAAGTCAAGCTGCTACAGAAAAGCATATTTCAACAAGTAAACAAGTGACAACATCATTTGCCGCACCGTCCGTTGCATTGCCCAGTTACCCAGTTGAGTATCCCTCCAAACTATCTGCCGACAAAGTCTCGGCCAGACCACTAGGAGCAATAAACCCACCACAGCCCACCACAGCCCATCGACAGACAGATAGATCTTTTGCCGTAATTCAAGCTTCTGATATGGCCATCTTTCCATCCACTGAATGTGGATCGAAATCTTGTAAGTTAAATGACATTGTTGCTGTCTTATAAATAATTTATCATTTATGTATTGGAAGTAACGTAATATGTGTCAATTAATGTACTACTTTACACCATATGACATGGTTAATCTCTCTGAGCGTGATTTAAACACCTGGAAGCTGGGATATTTATTGGACATAAAATAAAAATTTGAAAAAGAAAAATAGCTGGACATCAAGTAAACCATGCTACAGGGAAAAAATTTGTCAACTTACTTATGCTCTATTTTCTTTAACATAATGAAATCGTTTTTGATGTCTGCAGATTTGACTTATACATTTACAAATATTGGCAGTGGCCCATTGATGTGGGAGATTGCCTCCATTTGCCCTCCTTATGTTGTTGTAAGTACTTTAAAGATCAAGAGTTAAAAAGCGGTAAAATAATAATTCTATAATTTAAAATTATGTACCTGTACTGTCGAAATGTTTGATTAATCGTTTTTCATTTTTTTAACAATAGCATGCAAATACTACCAAGGATGTTTACAGAGTTCACTATGAAGTATTCAAGTTACATCCATTAACTGGTGTTCTTCAACCCGACGAAACTGAAAAGGTGTGTCCATAATTTTATAGAATATTTAGAAAATAAAAATATATTTTTCATTTATGTTCTTCACGTGTGTTCACAATGAGGTTTATATATAGCTAAGTAGATATTTATCCATCGATGGAATATTGATATTTATTATTGTATAGAAGTGGGCTCTGACAATGTCTGTGTTAAAAATATATATATATATATATATATATATATATAAACAAATTATAGATGATTACCGGGTATATGGATTTACTAATACTGGTGCCATTTCTCCTCCCCAAGATCTCTATTGAGTTTTGTCCCCAGTCCAAGGGTTCATTCAACCAGACTTGGAGCATTCATGATACAGCTGAGGACCAGGTGTCCTGCCACAAATTCAACCTTTATGCGAAAGTAGTTTTTCTTTTTTTATTCCACTCTAACACTGTGTTATCTTTTTTTTAAAAATGTGATTAATGTGAATTTAATATGAATAGGGCTTATGTAAAGAACTTCTCATATTCAATAACTTCTTCTACAGTTAACTGTATCATAAATACATTTTTTTTTACTTCTGCTTCATTGAAATAACAGCAAGTTGAAACCAATGTAAATTATTATCTGTATCAATGTCAAATATTGAGGACTATTCAAAATTGCAATGCACTTATTCTCCAGTTAAATTAATATTGAGCCCACTTAATCATTACCGTTTAAAATAAAAGAATGACTTAAAGTTATACAGCTTAAAATATTTGTTTTTCCCCATTTAGGCCAAGCCAAACCCACATGAGCAGTTAAATGCAGATTCAGATGCCATACCCCAGGGACTTAGCAAAACATTAGTTCCATCCCCCTCACATGTCAAGCCATCCAATCAAAACTCAACCTCAGCCAGCCTGACACCTTTCACCAAAATCAGCAGACAGGATGCCTACACAACCCAACAGTCCCCTGTTCCACGACAGGGTCCATCAGCTTATCTGAGTAATCAGGAAAACAAAGCAATGGGTGGAAGGGGTATATCATTGGGCCAAAACAGCAACACAAATGCTGCTGCACAGAGAGATTCTCAACCTGGTAGAGAGTCAGGCATACAAAGAACCACTGCAGAATGGACAGAAGTACAGACACATTCAGAGTTGATCAAAGGGTCACAATATGCTAGCAAAGTTACCAGGTATTCAAGTTCAGCTACATCCACAGCAACGCCCCTGTCTCCAAAAGGAGGGGAAAAACAATCAGCAAGGTAGGGGACATTTGATTTTTAAAAAAAGTGGTGAAGGTTTTATTTCTACATTTCATAAAACTTGACGATTTTTTAAACCTCAAACCCTTTGCATAACCCCTCCTTTATTCTTTTTTAGAGTAAATTTAATGAGCTTAACGTACACAAACACCACCACCATTGTGTGTGAAATATTTTAATGTGTACCAGTATTTTGTTTCTTCATTAGCCAGGAGACTAGCTTCACTAGCTCAAGTGTAAAGGAAAAAGGTTTGCATATCACAGACTCAAACATCAAATTTCCAACACTTCACATTCAAGACAGTGCCATATTAAAAGTTTATCTGCAAAATCAAACAAAGGAAATAGCTGAGGTAGGTCATCAAACTCTTGTGGAATAATACAAGACAAGTTTTATTTAAATGTTTAAAAATTAAAAGTCCCTGGTATTTATTGAATGCAGTTCTTCATGGGTTCCTCTGAGGAAGTCACCCTGTTGGAGTTCATGTATGAAACTATTTGTAATTATTTGTCTTAATTAAGTCATGCTGTGACTGTAACATCAATTCCTAAGTTATTTTTAAATGATATTATTCCTTTCATTTTAGGTTGTGGTTGAGTATGAACCTAACCCACCTTTCCTGATCAAACATCACTCTTTCAAAGTTGGGTAAGTATTTTTATGGGGGATTTTTGTGTTACTGGCGAAAGTTGAAATAAGAAATGAAAAGAAACTGATGACATTAATTTTTCACAAATATTATTTATTGAAAAACAGAATTTAACTGATTTCTTTTTTTTAAAAACTAAATGATTATTCTTTTGTTTTTTAAAACATTTTAATTTTTTAAATACATTTTTAATATATTTCTGTATATGTCCTTCCAATTTTACAGTGTAGACAAAATGGTGATATTCCCAGTGACTTTCAAGCCTAGACACATTGGACACTTTAAAGACAAGGTGGTTTTCCGGGAAATCCGCTCAGGGAAGACTCTCACAGCTTTGCTGGATGCTCAGTGTGAAAAAAAATCTTTGTAGGAGACACAGTATGGGTTGGGATAACCCCTGGTGTAAGCTGCCTTTAATATTGTCAGAGGTGTTACATATGTGTGTTTATTTGTTGTTGCATCTTGTCACAACTTAACTATTTATTGCCAGGATTTAAAAACTTGTTTAATTTTTTTGTATATTAAAATTGCCAGAATGTGCAACATGAAATCATATTATTGGTACATGATTTACAATTTACAATGCAAATGAGATCTTAAAATACAGTGTTCATGTTCTTTCATTTAATGTGCCTTACCGTACTTTGGTTTGTTTCGAAATGAATTTAGGTCATTAATTATGATTAATTGAGGAGAAAAATAAAGCAGACAATAAACTAATTTCATATAGAGTTGAAATTTTGATATATTTTTTACATCATGAAAATGAAAAAGACTTTGGGTGATGGGTATTGCTTATTAATAGTGTTACAATTAGTTCTCATTCATGATCATCACCTCCTATATTGTGTTTGTAGCACATGAGTGGAGCTGACAAACACCAAGTGCTCTTTTTTAAATTATTGCTATCTAATTAAGTTATTAATTTTTTTAATAATTGCAAGTCTAAATCAGTTTTTCTATTTAAACCTATGCAATTATTATAATTACGCCTCATAAAAGTTCATTTTAATTTATGCTAACTTCATAAACTACATGTTGATACTGCTTCCAATAAAAACCAGGACTTGTCGCATTTTAAACCAATAGTGTTCATGACCTTTCATCAATCTGATATACTATCTGAATCTGCATACACTTAATTTTTTCACAGCCTTAATTACTGATATTATTGTTATTTAATACATTTTAATCTGTTCTGGAATGTTTATTATGGGACCATATATTCAAAGATCTAAGCATTCTAGTTTTCCTATACAAGTTATGTTTTTATAAAATATAAATTTCAAATGTTAATACAAAATTTTTCCTTGCTCTGAAATCTTGTTTTACTTAATTATCGTTTATTATCATTATCAATAGTAATTTATATGATAATATAGAAAACAATGAAGAATAAAGCAATTAACAGAAGTCTACATAAAGTGGTGTGTAAAATTGGGGGCACATTTTGCATCTGCCGTGATTTGATAATAAAAATAAGGGTATTAAAGTAGACATTAAATAATTAAGTTGATATTGTAGATTGCTGAGGTCCTATTTTTTGGATTTTAAAAAAAGAGAATTTTATTTAGTGCAGTATTAAATAGTACCGGTAGTACTGATTGCTACTGTATTGCATCTACTGGCATACTATTTTTTGGGGTTGGCTTATGAGCAGTTTACTCAATTTTCGGGCTAAGGTTGTTAGCTTATGAACAAGAATATTTGCTACCGGTACTGCCTAATTTTAAGGAAAAACTAACAACTCGAACAAGGATTTTCAAGATGGAATAAAATATGTACGGTAACATGAATGAAAAACAACAAATTTCCATTTATCTGGATCATTAAAAGTACCGGTACAGTATCTTATCTTAATAATTTTGTTTATTAAAATGATGTATCAGTATCTGCTGTTTAAATTTATGAAATAAAATTGACTTGACATGTACCGGTACATATACCATTATTATAAAAAATTTTGGATTGCCTTCAATCTTCTAATAATTGCAGGAAGATCTTACAAGGTTGTAACATATAACTTGCAAGCCTACCGACAACTGTATATGATCGCATCAATAAATAATTTCAAATAGAAAACAGAGTTCTTCGTCCGTCAACATCTGTCAATCAACAACGACTAGCCTCTACTCATCGGGGGGGGGGGTTGTCACGGTGAGTTTGTAGGTGGCTTGCTAGTCTGATCCTTATTAATAATTCTGGCACCGCGGGCAGGGGATAGTTTGTTTCTGATGTAAGTTTGCTCTTTCGGGCTATCCTACTGGCTTACTTCATCATGAGATTGAGCCCCCTTACTTCTTGACAGGTGATCTCCACCTGGCTCTGTTAGCACTCATGCAATAGGGTTGATGCTGAAGCTCCTTTAGTGCCGCTTTAAAATACTTAAACTGAGTCTTTGTAACCCATTGGCACCCACATGATTTTTTTGCTGGTAATGCTAAAAAATTATTTAGTACCGGTACTGTCATAGTAATATAAAAAAGAAGAGGGGGATTCACTAATTTTGCAGAGATAACTAATTTTGTCCGACAGTTAAGTCCTATATTATTTTATTTTAAGCTGTGTTTAGGTACCGGTAGTAATAGATTTCATTCCGGTACTGGTAGTAGTTAGTTAAAGGCATTTTAAAAGGGGGGGGGCGCGCTTATGAATCTGAAACCTTTTTTCAAATTCTGTAGTCACCCATGTCTCATTTAACAGAATTCTTGAACGGAATGTTGAGATAATAACCATGAATAATGATTGATGTGCCTTTTCTTTATCAACCATTGTTATTTAATTGAGAGAATTTTTACATAACGGGTACTGGTACCGTAATATGATGTACCCGGTACGGTAATATAATATACAGCGCCTCTATTAGTTCTGTTAACTTGTTTAACTTAACTTTAATGCCACATGTACAGGTACCGCAAATACCTAACCTCAGCTGAATCAAAATGACCTGTGTATTAATTTTATGTATATGAATATGGTATGAAAATGTCCAAAAAATGCTAAATTTTAAATACCCAGTACGGTACCAGTAGACCTATACATGAACAGGAAAGTAATAAAAATCATATCACATCTGAACTACCAGTAGTACCAGGAGGTGAATCTTTAAAAAATATATTTTCAAAAGATCAATATTTTTTATAATTGATAATGTAGCCAAAACTTTAAGAGGCTCTGCTACCACCCTTTGGACTAAGGAATCATTTAAAAACTAATGCGATTAATATCACTTCTAGTGTGTGGAGACTGTACTGGTATATCAGATCCACCCATAGTCCTGGCAGTTGAAAGGACGCAAAGGACATGAGCTGCCAGACAAAACTAATGAGCTTGTACTTGTAGTCCATAATCGGCCTTCCTCGAAATGCTTAAGATTTCAGTTGTAATAGGATAGTGAACAATTTTATTGAATTTTTACAAGTTACAAGCTTAGTATACTAGATGGTGCTATAAATAATTTCCTTAACCTACTTTATAATACCTACAAGCACAAGAACTTGTGACCCTGAAGAAATTTGTTATGACATAGATTTATTGTTTCCTACTATATTTAAAAAAATAAAGGCTTCAGTCATAGCTTAAACATAAACTGGATTTAAATTAATGTTTCTGGATGTTTACTTGACTTATTATAATAGTCTTAAAAATGTGTTCTTTTTAACCAGGGATAAAACCAATTACAAATTTAAAAAAAAACGTACAATTTAGAAATATATATCACCTTTCCATTAAGGAGACAGCACTTTTTTTTTTCATTTATAGAAATAGAACTTAGGTGAACCTTAGCATATCAGCAATTGAAAATGAATGAAATAGTAATTAATTTACAGGAAACCTGTTTCATATATTTGTTAAACTGTTCAATTCAAAAACTTTTGGGAGAGAGCTAGTCTGTCATTTTGGCAATGATTATCAGTTTACTTGTACCAGGCTCAGGCCAAGCTTCTTTATGTGTGCACTAAGAAGTGCTGCAATCTATTATAACTTATAGTAATTATGGCGAAATTAGTGAAACTGCAAGCCTACTCCCAGTTACTAAGTTTTTCTTAAACATTATTTTTGACCCATGAATCACATAAAAATGTTGAAAGTACAATCCTACCGCTCCTTGAAACATTAGTACATACAATCTCCCAGTCAATGAAAATAAGAAAAGCATACAAACAGGCTCCCAAAATAATTTATTACAAGAAAATGATTGGGGGAAGAAATTTATTTGTCTTTTTCCTCAGCCTCCTTCTTCTTCTTTTCTCGTACACCAACCAACTTGGCTGTAATTCTGGCTTGGCGGAGAGCAACAAAGGCATTATGTTTACGCTCATCTTCTGTTGGCACTCGAGCTTTCTCTGCCTTGAATGTTCTCGGAATTGGTAGAATAACTGTACCTGTGAGTTGTTTAACCAGTTTCAACTCTTCAGGCTGAAAAGTAAAGAGTCATATGAATGTAAAAGTAAGACAGCAGTTTCACTTGAGAAAAACACAATAATTTGATAGGCCTGAAATCACTGATGTATAGTTTTAACATGCCTAGGAGGAGCATAACTTTATAAAAGGTAAAAAATTATTTCTAGCATCACAGGCAAGATCAATGCCTTTAAACTAGGTAAAGTGGCTAAATAAGATGTTTAGAGCATCACCAAAGCTATTACTGAATAAAATGTTGATTGAAATGAAATAAACATATGATTGGGTGAATAAAGCTAAATAGGTGTTCTGACATTACTTGTACAAGAATGTGGTATAAATACAGGTAAAATATAGATAATACTTACAGAAGCATCTCCCTTTCTTGGTTTTCCTTCTTTGCGGGGGAAAACTACCAATTTGGACTTGTACTCCTTCAATCTCTGAACATTTTGAAGCTGAGACTCAACAGAAAGGTTTCGTCTTCTGAAGTCAACAGCGATGCCAATGGTGCGGGCAGTTTTCTTGTTAACACCAGCAGCCTAAAATGAAACAAATAAATAAATGAATAAAAAAAAAGCTAAATGTGAGAGAACCGTAAAAGCACCTGCCAAAACAGATAAATTGGAAATAGCCTACTGCACCACTCCATTTAAAATCGATTCTAACATCCAAATAAATATAATCTAGTTGGCAACACCAATTGACTCCGCAAGAGCCAAGTCTAACGATCGTAAATGAACATAAGATTTGCCTGTCAATTTTAAAACAGACCTGGACGAGCTTTACAAAACAATGATCAAATACTCCTCCCAATTATCATTAAAAATTGTGGCCAGTCATACAAGGGGGAAAAATTTAAAAAAAAAAAAAATGACTTACATTCAGACTATTTAAGCCTGGTCACTAGCAATAATAGTTTCACGATGGCACATGAGTTGCTTTGGCAGTCGGGCACAAAACTTACACATGAACTGCCAGCTTACTTCTTATAAATCTGGCCTAGCTGCGTGATTGTAATTCTAAACTAGCTGTGCGGGGCTAAAATGCAGTTAGCTCCAAGGCTGGTGATGTCTTTCATAGTATACAGGTCATGGAGGCTCCCCTTGGTCAACTACCGACCATAGTTCCGTTTTTTAAAAGAATTCGAATTTTAGTACTGCATTTATTTGAAACTTTTAATTTTTGTTAAAGCTGGGTGTGTGTATGTATTACCCTCCTCAGAAATTATATTGTTTATTTTTGTATTGCAAGTGAGGGGAGAGGCTCTCCCTCTGCATAAGATTATGCTAAAATGTCCTGTTAAAATACAACATTACAGAAACGAAAAGCAGATATGCACTCCACCAATCAAAAGATAGCACTTTTAGTCCATGTGCACATCTTTTTTTTCTGTGTCGATCTTGGGGTATCGGAAAGGATGAATTTGTCTTTTCATTTCTTTTGAACTTTGTAAGTAGAATTTTAATAAAAACCAATGGAAAATTACATTTAAATATTTATCATATTAACTGTATCTCTAGTCAGATTACGTTTATAATGAGAAAATGCTTAGCGAAGAACAGGAAAATTTTCATGCACATCCTTCAGGACCAACAATCGGTCCTGTCAACCTAGGTCCAGTGTTGGGATACCCCCAAGTGACGTCACTGTGCTTAAGACAACTCTTGGCAAAACCCATGCTGATAACTGCACATTTACCTTGTGGTAAAGTTGGGCATGCATTGTACAAAACCAATACCAAGTGACTGTTATGGTCTCTTGAGCTTGAATATAAATTAATGAAAGTTTGAAATTATTTTTTTTATTTAACAGGTCTTAAGATAATCATGGGATTCAATAATCATTTTCCTTCTTTGACCCTGTGCTGCGAGAGTAGAGGGGTTTACACAGCTCATCACCTCTTCTTGTCACATATATAAGTTGCTAGGTTACTTAGCAAATTTAATGCAACCAGTAAGCCATATATCCTTGCTGAGCATTACAGACCTGTTTACCCTCAAACTCTTAAAAGCGTATAATATCATCACAAAATCGTTCAATACGTTATATTTATATAAAAAAATAAACAGCATATACAACCTATACACCTAAAAATCATACATTGTACGCCAAAATCGTAAGAGTAAACAGGTCTGGCATTATTATGGCAGTCATATAACATGGGGAGGACTGCGTTCAGGTTGAAGCAATGTGAGGGAAAATTGTTAAAAAAATAATTGTTCTACTTGGCATCTCTGTACCCAAGATCCATAATTTTGCCCAAACTAGCCCTAACAAATTTATGATAAATAAACTTACCTTAAGTTCATCCAGGGTGAAACCACGTCCTAGTCTGAGCTTGGTATTGTATTTGAATGTTGGACAGCGAACGATGGGTCTCAGGAGACCAGCAACAGGCCTTGGAGCAATAGCAGCGGCCTTGGCAGCACGAGCAGCCCTCCTGCGTTTTTTTCTCATTGGCTGGTTAAACCAAGTTTTAACCATACTCTGCCAATCCTTATGGAAATGGCCATTGGGAACTATGTTATTTCTCTTAGGAGCCATGGTTTACAGGCTGAAATAAGAAAATATAAGTCACAACATAACGAGAGTGTAAAAATGTTCATCATTATATATTCATACTGCCTACTAAAACTTTAAAGTTAAAGAAAGGAAAATCTGACTTCTTAAATAAGCAGTTTGAGTTTGGTCATCCCTACACTAGTTACTTTTAAAGTTGTGAAGGCCCAATCATTGATACACGTTCTAATATTAAATAAAGTGACAGACCAACAAGTAACACTCTTCATACACTGCAAAGCCATATACATTTAATTAATCAACATATATGTTTACAAAGTTGTTTTATTTATAACAGTAGGGCCCATTTGAAGAGTTTTTATCAGGCTACAAAATTCATCAAAGATTGTGCAAGCAGATTAATTTTTTTTTAAATATTAGTTAACAGAGAATATAAGAATTTGTTTCAGCGATATAATACAATATTATGATTATTAGATAGAGATTATTTAATAAAGATTTTGATGGATAAATTTTGTTAATCTTTTACAGTTATAGAACCAACCTCTCTACAATATAGAAACCGGAAGAAAGGAACAAATATCAATTATGCGCTTGCGCAAAAACTTTTGTCACGACTTCCTTTTCTTGGATCCGTATGGAAAAAGTGAAAGCAAAACATTGTAAACTGTTCGTTCCAGGATTGCACAGAATAATTGCCAAATAATCGGCTTCGACCATTTTGCCGATCAATCAGTCATTGGCTTTTTATAACTGATTAAATGACTAGTCGGCTTACTAAAAATGCTATCAAGATCATCTTTGTGATTGTATCAAATATGTTTCAAATTAGATATATAACGGTACAAGATTGAGCCTCTTATCACTCATTTGCATCCTTCCTTATCCTTACTCCCATCCTCATGACCGTCTCCTTTTTTTTTCTGCGACATCGTCAGTGTTTACATAATGAGACGAACACTAAATAGCCTCGCCCCCTGTGCCCTGAGTTGTCCAGACGTCAAAAACTTGAAATGACTTAGCCAACTCTTTCAATGTCTTTGTTTGAAATTCTTGTAGGAGTGCAGGGGAACAACAGCTACCTTAGTACTAATTTAAATTGACGCCTTTTTGTAGATCCAAAATTTACCGTAATATACTCGTCTATATTTTTATCTCTCTATAAGTTGTAGGCAGTTTTTTTTTTTTTAAACCAATAATTATGAATATGTTATGATTCGTTGATAAGTTGAGGGTAAAACTTTGGGCGATGCAATGCTGTGCTTTTTCAACAAGTCTGTAAGATTTTACCTACCAGCAATATTTATACTATAATATGTCCGGTGTCATTAGGCCTACTTTCTCTCGATCTCCGCGATTAATATCAGCGCCCTTTCTCCTCCCGACGATGGAGGCTGCTGACGGATTCAGTAGTCAGCGATGAATCATGTGGCTAGGCATCAGATTTCAGTCAAGCAACAACAGCTTTTTGTGTCTGTGTGTGTGCGTGTTTGTGTTTACCCGGTATCTGAGTTAACGTGCAGCTACCAGTATGTACACTATCAATACCGGTCATTCGACATTGCCCGGCATCCAATGGCGTACACAATTCTATCGAAACAAGCACTGACTTGTGGATAAGTCGACTCTGCATTTAAAAATGACGTTAACGACTAAAATTTCTCGATTTATACACGAGTATATACGTCATTATATATATATATATATATATATATATATATATATATATATATAC